CTGTATATATGTGTTCTCCGAGGAATCCAATTTGAATTTAGCCTAACTCCGCCAATTTATTTTGGGGGTACAGCCCAGCTAATGCCTCATAAGTCAATGAGTTTTTGGCATTTTTATGGCTTATGAACAGACACCGAAGTGGCCAAGAGGCGGGGGAATGGGGTCAGGTGGAGTTCCACAGCTGTTGGGCGGAAAAACTCTCCTCGACTTGGTGAAAAGTTTCCCAGACAGAGTAATTTCCATTTCCAAAACATTGCTCTGCGTTGATATGGCTTGCAAAAAAAAAAAAATAACAGGACTTGGAAATAGTTTTCATATATTTTAATATATTATTTCAAAATATTGTTTTCTTTTCAATCACTAAAAATTCACTATGGTTTAAAAGTCTGATTTTTATAAGTACATACATCTTAGAATAAACTTTAAATGAAACAAGATCTTTAAGGGAAGGTAGTACAAATTGGTTATTTTTATGCAAAATGTAATTTATATTATGTTTTTTATGACAATTTCCTATAAACGGGTACCATAAAATGTAACCAAGAAAATTGCCAATGAATTCTTAGAAAAGTCTGAAAATGTAAATGATTTTGCTGCCACAAAAGAGCATAGTCCAGAATTACCCACACCATTTCATCTGTTATTCGGATGGTTTGGAAGTATAGCCCCCTCATTTTCGTTGGAGACAAAGAATCGCTGCCTTTGAGCCAGAGCAGAGCTACATCAAAGATGCTGTCGAGCGGCCTAAACAAGAGAATTCTTAGTTCTCGAGGCTTTCCACCGGCCCTCGGCCATTGGCAAAAGCAGTGCGAAATTAGCCAAAAGTAATCCTTTAAGTTTAGTGCCCGAAAATTGCACACAATTGTCAGAGAGTCTCAGTGTCCTTCCTCCTTCTTCCTCCCAGTCACATCCCACAGCAGAACCCACATCCCCAATCCACATCCAACATTGTCAGCCACCGTTGATGACATTGTGTAAAATTTTGTTGCTGCTGTCGTCGCTTCGTGTTGCCGTTGTCGTTGATGTTGCTGCTGCTGCTGCTAATGCACTTGGAAAAATTGTTTGCAAAACTCTTTAATACATTTTAAAAATTTACCCAATCACTTACATCAGCAAATATTTTTAAAAGTAATTTAAAAAGTGTACAATAAGCATTTGCTGAAGAACTCGCGTTTTTTTTCTAAATTGTATCATTTTGCAAATGCAGTCAATATTCTTAAATTAAATTTAAAGTTAATACATTTAAGCAGTTAGTACAATATTTACTAATTGATATTCTTTAATTATAAAAAGACAACAGATAGTTTGTTTTTTTATTCATTGTTGTTTAGTTTTTTGTGTTTTTTAGTTTCTGTTTTTCAAATTTCTTAAATGTTTTCTAACGTGTACTGGCCGCGGCTGCCTTCACTGGCTGGCTATAAAACTTTTATAGTAAAAAGTAAATGCCACAAATGAGCAATCGAAAATTTCGCATTATAATGCAAACTGTGTGCATTTTTCGGGGTTATTGTAGTCGGCTTTCGGGCGAAAAGACAAACGCATACCGGCAGCAAGGAACATGGAACAAGGAGCCAAATACAAGGACCAAAAACCCAAAGCCAAGGCAGTCGTCATGGTCGCCTCGCTTTCCTCTCTCTTTCTCTAGCCTCTATTAATAATAATAGAATTTTTGGAAAATTTTCAGCACAGAGGAAAAAGGAAAAGGAAGCGTTGCCTTTCGGCTCACGATTTTTGCATTTGACAACGAAAACGAAATGAACGAGTTGGCTTTTTCTCGCCACTCTCACCATTGCCATCGCCATCGCCATTGCCATCGCGAGAATGAAAATGAAAATGATAAACCCATTTCCCCCCGGACTGCATTGCATAATTCAGCGGAGTCTGGTGTACTCCGCTCGCCATCCTGCCTGACAATAATGCTAATAATGATAATGATTATAATGCATGAACAAAATATTCCCGGAGATGCCGTCCTTTGTCTATCGAACCATAGACTCCGCAAAGCTCCACTTCCCCGCTGTTTTGGCATCTAATGAACTTCTTTATGGCTGCATCATTCGCATAGCTAATGCGGAGTGTCTATGGCGCCCAGTTTGCCCGGTTCCAGGCAAATTTAACGAATTTGTCTCGAAAATGCCAGCGAAATTGTGCAAAATTCAATACTAGAATTTAAAAAGTGGCCAGGAACTAACAATAAAATGCAAACGATCTTTTTATGCAAAAACAAATCAAATAAATAAATCTGCCTTTTTAATATTAAATATTGGCTTGAGTTATATGTGTTCTAAGACACAAATTAATAAAAATATTAATCACCTACAAATGCTCCCTACATTTGAGAAGGAAATGTCTTTACAATACTAAATATTGGAATGGGTTGAGTACCTATTAAAACGCAAATTATTGTATTGTTTTAAAGACATTTTTTTTTAATGAACAGAATATGTCATGATACCTTTTTTTAATTGATGATTTTTTACTTTTTTTTAAGAAATAAATATTTGAATTCTATCCATTGCTATAGTATTGGATTTATCATTGAAAATTTAAACTGCCCAGGAAAGGTGATGTAATGATATTGAATTTAAGTAAGTAAAATATTAGGAGTTACTTGCCTTAGCGGATGCATCGTTAACTTTTTAAACCTGTTGAGTTAATTTGATGTTATAATGATTGTACAACAATTTGTTTTAGTTGTGGCTTAATCGAAGTTATTAGAACATTATAGATGCACTTAAATTAAATTTAAATATAACTACCGTGATAATCCAATCTCTTAGCACTCCAAAGTATACCGGCGATACATTATTGATAACGGAGTGGTGCTGTGAGATGGCAAACACCTTCGCTACGCCCATTAATTTTTACTGCTTTTGGGTTTTCAATTTTCCCGAGCTCGCGAAAAAGCCACGTGGACCAGAATGCCATTTAACGCTGCATAGAAAATCAAACGCGAAAGGTCAAAGGGAATGGCGTCTATGGGGTTATGGTGTTATGGGTTTGGTGGGTGGGTGTTTTTAGGTTATCACCTTGTGATATATGCCAAAAATGGAGAATCTCCCTGTGTGTGTCTGCAGCATCATCTTGTGCCATCCGCATCCATCCCCCTCAAGCCCGAAACTCCAAATCCAAATCCAGTGAACCACCGAGAAAATGGACAGAGGACCAGTAACCCTTCATCGAGAGTTGGTTGGCTTGGTGTGGGTCGGCAGTGTTGATTTAGGGTTGCAAACAGAAATTATGATAATGCCTGTGAAAACAACGAGCACGGGAGATAGAAACAAGGAGTCGCCGAAAGCAAAGGAAAATATATTAAATGTTATTGAGAGGAACTAATTTTCATTAAAAGGATTAAAAAGCATTTGGCGAAAAGAAGGAGTCTGCCAAAGGATGGCGATGGGTGGCGGGTGTTTTCTGGAGTACTGGCAACCGCGACGTCGTCGCTGGTTATGAATTAACATAAAAATCATAAAAATATGACACTATGAGACGGCAACGCCGCCGTGGCCATCAGCATTATCATTTTTCACAGAGGCTGCGGAAGAAAGGGGTAAGGATTTAGGAAGTTTGTATACAAATCTAACAGAAGATATTACGTTTACAAAGGTCCGACTTTAAAGAAATTTAACACATTAGTATTATCACTAGCAGCCGATTTTTTCAAAAATATACCTACCATATTTAGAATACTTCTTGGTATAAGTATTAGTAACAACAGTATCTAAATAAGATGCTTCTTAATTACTTACATTTTTAATTTTTGGATTTATTTGAGTACTAGTAGTAGTATGATATTGCAGTTGAATTCTGAATATCATTTTGTAGCACATATTCTATTTTTAAGAAATTGTTGTAAATATTTAATGTTTAAAAGAAACAATTTTAGATCGAAAATAAATTAGATGTCTCAAACGATTTGCAACATTTGTATAACCATAAAAAAGTTATGTATGCTAATCTCGTACATCACTATTTAAAGAAATTGTTTATCTATTTTTCCATATTCTTTTAGATGTAAAATAAATGATATCAATATCAATTTTAGGGTTAAACTATTTTCGGCACCTAAATCCCCCTTTTCCTTTGCGAGCCACTGACCATTATCATTATCGTCATCATGATGAACGCATGATGCTCATTGGAATGAGAGGGAGGGGGTGCAGGGGCTACGAAAAGGGGCAAAGAAAATCCAGTGACGGGGGCTGGAAGGGGTGGCCATTGATGGCAATGCGCGACAATCAACACGAGGCAGCGGTGGGTGGTTTGGGTGGCTTGGCTGGATTTCGGGTGGCTTGGGTGGATTTCGGGCGGATTCGGGTTCGGTTCCGTTGGGCTGGAGGATTAGTAATGGCCAGAACTGTGTGGGCTAAAGGTGGGCAGAGGAGCAGCTCGTGCTTGGCATCATTTTGATGATACCAAATGCTGATGACGATACCATTCCACCATTCCACCAACCCACCTCAACCCAATCCAAATAGCATTTGCCTTTGGAATGGGACGTTGTTTGCTTTTTTGTGGGCGTCGCTGCTGCCACTTAGTAACTCACCCGCAGTTTATTATTTTCAAAATATTTAAATTTTTTGGTAATAAGCGAAAAATGGTTTTAATATAACCGAATGGGCGTACCGAAGCGGACGTGCCTGATGACGATGACGATGACGATGATGATGATGATGATGATGATGATGATGTTGCTTCTGTTTCTGCTGTTGTTTCATAGGTAATCCACCTGGTGGAGCATTAAGGGGATGATTGGTTTACTCAGCACAGAGGGATTATCCTGGGTATAAAGTCACCTATACGGCAACCTTTTGTAAGTACGAAAATTGAAAATTGAGTAGGAAATTTACATGGTAAGCTATTTTGGAAATGACAAACAACCAGTAACCTATTTTCTGTATTTGTTATAATGAAGTCCACATTTGCCATTTTAAGATAGTTGTTTAATATCACCATAATTGGAAAGTCACCGCCTTTCTATAAAAAACTCAACCACCAACTCGTTTTTCACATACTTAATTTTTATTTACTTCTATATTATTATGATCTGCATATATGTCATTTCCAAAAACCGTCTTAATATTCCTTCTATAATCTGATTTGATTTACATGATCGATTTGCGCAAAAAAAAATAATGATATGCGATGAATCACATATTTTGTTATTCGACATCTGAACGAATTGAACAAATTTTAATTGTGAAGGAACCGGAATACTGGATCGCTTGAACTATTTCGATTCTGCTTGGCTGGGTATAGATATAGATATACTTGTAAACCTAATATAGGAAGAGATTCATAGTTCGTTTGACATGTTATTTGCTTACTTCGGAGTTGAGATTATTGATTCTTGGGATAATTGTTCTTGCCCCAATAATTTTTCTGTTGCATTTGGTTCTTTTGCTGCTGTTGCTTTTGCTGCTGCTGCAGCTGCTGCAGCTGCTGCTGCTGCTGTTGCTGCTGCTCCTGTTGCTGTTGCATGTGCATCACATGCAAGTGTTGCTGACGATTGCGAGTGGTGTCTTTGGCCTGCCACGACTCGTTTCGATTGCCGCCCCTGGCAATGACACTGCTGCGCTTATAGTTCTTCACGGTTTCCTCCCAATCGCGACCCATCACCTCGCGGGAAATTTCATCGGGACTGCGCATGAATTGCTTTCGCAGTGACGTTGGCTCAGTTTGACTGAAATTCGGCCTAAACGCCGAGGGATCGTGGGGATGTAGCCATTTCGTATCGATGTAGCTGCTATCACGCCACATATTATCCTCGCGATTGATGCGACGCGCCAGAGCACTTGCGTTCGCACCACGCGAATATGAACCCGCATCGCTCCTCACCGTCGATGTGGCACTGGCCTGCGGTGTACCGCTCCTGGGCATCTTTGGGCGGCCCCCATCATCATGGCCCCACGAACTGGAGGATTTGGTCCGAAAAGCGCCGTCAATAATACCGTGGAAACGCGGTTGCACAATGTGCCCGGCCACTTGAGGGCGAAGCGAACGCTGCATGATTCTGTGGGCAACAAAAAAATTCAATTTTATTATCAAAATTGACAGTAAGACAAATTCCACTTTTTTCACAAATGGCCACATTTGCCACTTTCTGTCACAGTATTGCCACTTTGACAAATAATGGCTACCCTGCAATGACCATGTGCATACAATGTTGCCATCTTGCTGCATGTCCTTTAAAATCACAGCAAAAAAACTCACCTTTTAAGACACATTTCGTATTTGCTTTTTAAAATCAGCTACGGTTTATTGTCAAATTGTTAAATTTTGAATTTAAGGGAAAGATTTTACTATAAGATTTTGGCTCTAATGTTGCCGGTGGAAATTCCTAGCGTAGAATGAGAAAAATCCAGGGCCCCAACCGAACGACTTAAAAGACAAACTAACACTAATATCAAAGCCAGCCAGAGTCAACGATAGGAAAGTGTAGCCATGAAAACAATCTCATATCATACTAGATTCACAATTTAAAATTGGTGTTCTTTCTTAGTATAGCCCTTTTTAAAAAGCAATGGAACCATTTCTTTCGGTGCCCTACTTATCAAAAGACATCGTTTATTAGAAATTAATACTTGTAGATAACCCTTTTTATACCCTTGCAGAGGGTATTATAATTTCAGTCAGAAGTTTGCCACGCAGTGAAGGAGACATCTCCGACCCTATAAAATATATATATTCTTGATCAGCATCACTAGGCGTGTCGATCTAGCCATGTCCGTCTGTCCGTCTGTCCGTCCGTTTGTATGCAAACTAGTCTCTCAGTTTTAAAGCTATCTGCATGAAACTTTCCCAAAAGTTGTCTTTCTATTGCAAGACGTACATAGGTCGGAACGAGCCGGATCGGACGACTATAACATATAGAACAATCAAAAAAATAAATAAAAAAAAAATTATAACTTTGCTGTTTTTTAATTTTTTTTTTTTAGTTCTTCGACATAAATTTAAATTTCATCAAAATCGGACGACTATATCATATAACTCCCATAGGAACAATCGCAAAACAAATACAAAAAATATTATAACTTTGCTGTTTTTAGATTTTTCTATTAGTTCTTCGACATATAGTAATGATTAAGTATTTCAGAATTACGGTTAAAATTTCGGTGACAAATAAATTGAGTGGCAGCCTCAACCAGAGAGCGGGAAAACAAGAGGCGAAACCCAAGAAAATAAAGACTGCCCCGGGGCTCTGCCCAGTATTACAACAATATCATCCAGTCAGCAGCAACAGGTTGCTATCCTTGGGAGTTGGGTAGACTCGACTAGGAGATACCATAGAGTTTGAAGAAGTTTCAGAATCGCATTTTAAGCCTGTTCCCTTTCTTGTTTTATAGTTATGTGAAAGCAAATTAAGTGTATTTATTGATATGGGTTTCATATAAAAGGACTTCGAAAATTCCACATGGACTTATCATGTCCTCATCATATTCTGATCCAATCGGCTTTTCATTTTCTGAAAATTTCAAATTTGTTCCTTTTTTCTTGATCAAACTATCTATGCTTTTAATTTCGAGTTCTACTTACACCCATCAGTCCCTACAGAGTTCAGTATACACAACCATGTCGGGGAAATAACACACAGGAAATTGCCTTCTGAACAATACAAAAAAAACCAAATTTAGTTTTAAGCATAAAGTGTTAAATAACATTTTTGAAAAACACTTTCTTAATAAACAAAACCCAACAAACAAATAAACATAAAACGAGATTGGACAAAACACGTGGTTAACAATAGAGTAAGTAAATAATATTAACGCAACTTTTTCTTGCTATGTTAAATATATGAATTAAATTTCAAAGCTTGCTGACTGAATGATATTGATATTTTCTTCTGGCTCGAGAACGTAGACTTCAAATTCCCTGTTAAACACTTAAACCGAATGGCAAACAAGTTGAATGGAGGATCAACCGTATCTTGCAGTGCAGTTCAGTTCTCAATCAATTATCGACTGGACAAATGGTGAGTAGTAACCAAGCAATTATTTATTAAAATACTTTACATTTATATATTTTGTATTCCAGATGGCAAGCACTTGAAAGTTCAAAAAACAGATGTCCAACAAGGAGAATACTGGAGTCAACTACTGAGCTGCACCACTAAAACTTAAGCCATCCCACCCTCCACAATTCTGTAGGATCTTGTCCCTGCTCTTCGTGTCCGGCACAATTATTTGTAAACACAAAGACACTTACAAAAATACACTTGGCAAAAAAGAAAACTTGTCTATGGTCTTCATTTAAAATCCGGGATATACCGGGAATACACTTGAAATTAGTCTTTCGACTTAAAAATCATAATTTAAATACAAAATGGGAAGTAAATTTCTAGCGCAACACAAACTAATTGTGCATACCCAGCTTATTTCCAGATACCCACTATAATAATCACAACAACTAGCTGCAATTAAGAGTAAGTCGCTGGTTTGCTGGAGCTTAAGAACGCCCCTTTGAGATTTATTTACTTTATTTACATATAATGGCTACACAAAAGGTGAAATAAATAAATGGTTGACTTGTCAATGGAGTGCTCAAAAAACGATCAATGGAGTTTAAAGATTATTTGTTTTATATAATTATACCCTTGCAGAGGGTATTATAATTTCAGTCAGAAGTTTGCAAAGCAGTGAAGGAATCATCTCCGACCCTATAAAGTATATATATTCTTGATCAGCATCACTAGGCGTGTCGATCTAGCCATGTCCGTCTGTCCGTCTGTTCGTCCGTTTCTACGCAAACTTGTCTCTCAGTTTTAAAGCTATCTGCATGAAACTTTCCCAAAAGTTGTCTTTCTATTGCAGGTAGTATATAAGTCGGAACGAGCCGGATCGGACGACTATAGCATATAGCTCCCATAGGAACAATCGGAAAAATAAATTTTAAAAAATTATAACTTTGGTGTTTTTTTATTTTTTTGTAAGTTCTTCGAGATATAGTAATGGTTAAATATTTCAGAATTACGGTTTAAATTTCATTAAAATCGGACGACTATAGCATATAGCTCCCATAGGAACAATCGTATAGCCGCCATAGGAACTATCGAATAATTAAGCTGCAAATCATTATAGCTTCAATGTTTTTAAACATACACACAAGTAAATCATAATTATAACGTTTTCAAGAGTATTAAGTTTTTGAAATATCTGCAAGGGTATATGAACTTCGGCTTGCCGATGTTTACTTGCTTTCTTGTTGTATTTAAAATAACTCAATGTACATATTTATTGTTTTACTTTTAATTTTAATATAACTTCAGCTTAACATTATTTAAATATTAACATTTTAAATTTCATTTTAAATACCATTCTGGTGCAAAACAATTTTATTAATTTTTCTGTGGACCAAGAACCTTGTGAACAACGAACACTGACTTGTTCTCAAGTCCACAACAAAGCAATGATTATTTATATGCATTTTCCCATGCATGTGAGTATAATTATAGGGAGCAGGTCTTGAAGAAAATGCAATTTTGTGGCGGTACATCCGCCTGGAAAAATCCCAACCGAATCATGGGCACTACTGGCGACCATTAACTGCCTGAGTCGGTACTTTGGAGCCACCCTGCTTCGACTTAAACGTTGACACTTGAACTCTTTTTGATTTCGCATATGTGCATGGGCGCTGAACAATGGCACAATTATGTTAAATATCGACAAGTGGCCATCCAACTGGCGCTTTTGTTGTGGGGAAATATTAAACACTCGTGGCGGCCACCAACAATCGAAATTCTCGAGGCAGAAAAGAATAAAAATTTAAAATGGTACATATGTTCAAAAAAGGAGGTTGAGGACCTTGCAGTTACAGTTGTACACGAAAAAAATGTGTTTAATTCAATTGAAAATGAAACATTTTCTAACGTTTTTTTAAGGGATATGATTTAAAATAAAAATTCATGTTAATTATATTAAAAGCGAGAAGCGGTTTGTTTTACAACCATAAAGATAATTGCAAACATGCTTTCAAAATGTTCCTTTTTAAGAAATAACAACAATATGTCAGCAATGGAATTAAAAAGAAATTTCCTCATAAAATAAAATAATAAAAATGGACATCTTATATCACATTATTTTTGGCACAAGACTAACCCTTTCTAGAACTTTCATTGATCTTTGACCAGGCATTTCAAAAGGGAACATTTTCTTGGTGAATATAACTTAATTATGTAATCTAAATGCATTGAATCACCTCAACCAAATGACAATAATCATAATGACAGTGGGCGGGCGGTGGTGATGAAAATTGTTATCCACCAAAAATGTTAACTCATTTGTTGTCCTTTTTCAGTTGGCTCGCTGACAACCAAGAAAACCACACAGACAGGCAGGTGGAAATCGTGGGGGTTTTTCTACTGCCGAAAAGAAGAGAGTACGACAAATCTTTGCAATTTATTTACGTGCCATTTCGTAGCGAACATTTTCGTTAGATTTTCCCCATTCGCCTGGCGGAATTCCAAGGCAACTTCAGTCGGAGGAGGTCCAAGTACCCCCTGCCATATTCCAATTCCTCCGGACTCCCCGCCTTCTACCTTCTTTGGTCTTTTGGCGACGACAAAAGTCATGACGCGCTGATGACGTTGCCAGTGGAAGGATTTAATGGCACATTAAGAATTTTATTACCGCCCAACAACAACGTGGTAAGGTGCTGAGGAAGGGGTAAGGAATGAGTCTTTCAAGGGGTAAGGGGCTGGGTAAGCGGCTGAGTAAGGGGCTGAGTAGGGGGTAACGAAGGGCCTGTGGAAAACCATCGCACCTTGGCAGAAAAATTTTTCGCGCGCGTACACACAAAATTTTTGACAGCCATTTGCCATGAAAATCTTTCGGTGTCAACAGAAAATTTTCATTTTCATTTTCATTTTGGTTCATTTTCATTGGTTTTTGCGTTTTTGCTTTTGTTTTCTTTTTTTTTGTTTTTGTGTCTTTGTGTTACATTATATTTTGCGTGGATTTTTGGTCCTCGTCAGCGAAAGGGTGTGGCTTTTTAGGGGGTTAAGGGCGACTTCGTAGAGCTACATCTTTACTTCTTTATCCCTGAGTTTCCATCGTGTCGCTGGCTAAGACGATTGTCATTATTACAAGTTTTGCATAAATGAATGAATGACATTTATGTATTTCATTTAGCCAGAGCCAAGGACTCGACTTAAGAAGCTGAATTGGGGAGCACAAAGGGGGTGGATAGGGGAAACGTAAGGTGGTAGGAAAGATCGGATGATATCAGGGATGCCAAACGTCACCTTATGCTAAAGAATTCGCGTTTGTATCTCTTAACTTTGAAATGGTTTTAACGTTATATTTGCTTACCAATACATCTAATGGCACAGAAAACTTAAGGCAATGAAAATTAGAACATTGATTGCAAATTTAGGTCAAAAATAAATTGTTGTTCCATAATATATTAGAAGAAATCTTTATAGGTGATTTCAAAATGTATTCAAATAGTTTTGTAAATATATATATACTTATAAATAGTTTTTTTTTCCATTTTTACATCTGTTTGAGTTTAAAATGAGCATCACTGTTTCATAGGAAGGTGGAAAGGTCATGAAATGGAGCAGGTAAGGTGGTAACAAGGGGTTGGAGGCCATTTGGTGGCCTGAAATGATGCGCGAGTTTTTCAAATCTTTATGCCCTTTGTTTGATCAACTCTTGTCGGAGCTCCTCCGAGATTTTTGGACAAATGAGTGCGGAGTGAGTGGGCCCCCAAATAAGGATGAGGTCAGGTGAATTCGTCGTGCCATTAACCCATTATGTGTCAGCGAAAATTTCAATCCAACCACATTTTCATCTTGACATTTGTGCATAATTGAATTAATTCCAAAATGGAATTCAGACATTTTTCGGTGACGTGGCTGGGAATTGAAATGGTTGGAGGTGGCTTTGAAAGGATTTCGGATAAACATAAAGATTCTTAATTATAATAGCTTAAAACTCAAGGTAGATGGAAGAAAAAACTGCTGAATTTAAAAAGAATTATTGAAAAATAACCAGTAAACGATATCCTTTTTATTAGAATGTTTACTAATGCCAGAAGCCAAACTCAATTTATTGAATTGGTCCAGATATAAATGACTACACCGCCCAACCAATTAAATAGGTATGTGACCTTAAATAGCAGCTGTTCTATTATCCCAAAAAAGAATCCCCAAGCCAACAAATTAACGTCGATCCATGGAACATCTGGAATGGAATGCGCTGGATAATAGAAGTTATTTTTTCTCCCCTGTTATTTATATGCAATTTAACCATCTTCTTTCGCCTTTTCTTCGCTTTCTGTGTGTGCAACCCTTTTGAGGCTCAACCTCCACTCTCTGCTTAATTTGAATGCATTTAAAAATGTTAAAATATGAGAATTACCAGGGCAAGGCAAAAAAAAAAGTAAAAGAGCAGGCCGAATTTATCTACAGAGACACGCACTTTGAACGTTAAACTTAAGCGAGGGAGATGGCCATATAGTTCGGGCAGGCCTCGGTACACAAAAGATTTGTACGTGTTCCCACTTGATGAGGCCAGAACCCCCCTCCTTCCGCCAAAACTCATCTTTATCAACCCCACACCCCTGACAAATACTACGCGAAAAAATTCGGCTTAAAAAAACACACGCAGCTAAGGAAAAAGAGTTCGGGACGGATAAGGGCGATGGAAAAAGAAATAGACAGAATTTAAACACTGAAAAAATGCTCTTATAATTAGTTTTTATTCGATTTTTTAAGGATATCTCTGTTCAATTATTCGTAAGTTTTTCGTATTTTAAAGGAGATTTTTATACAGTATTTTAAGCATCTATAAATTTGATTTATTCATCAATTTTAGAAAACAATATTTTTCTGCGCTAAAACATTTTATGTTCCGAAGTCCGTTTTAATTATTTTTCATTGTTTACCTTTACACAACTTTTTAAGTCAGTGTCTTTAAATATTTTATAAAATATTTAGAAGTGTGAAGTCTGTTCTATCTTTAAATACACACTTTTCTTCAAGAGTAAATTTCTGGAAATAAAGTTTAACTAATATATTTATAACTAGTATGATTGAAATTGTTATAATTTAATACAAATTTTTTCCTGTGACAAAATAGGCATTATAATAAAAAAGAAAGAGGGTGGCGAATTACAAGTCTCTACACCCCCGCACTTCCCCTTTGCCAGTGGCACACGTTACGCCGAAAAAGAGATAATTTTATTTCATTAATCCTTTTTTGGGACAAATTCTCTGTCGTTTATTTTTTTTTTTTTCCGGGCTTGCGTTTTGTTTGTCGCCGTCCTGTTCCTCTTGTTCTTTTTCAGGCTTCAGCTTCTGTTTTTTCTTGTATTCCGGCTCGGATATTCTGGGGCGTGGCTCGAACGTTATATTAGCTTAAAATTGTGTAAATAAAAATTACATTCGTAAGAAGGTTCCAGTTGGCAGCAGCTGCTTAAGCCCCCATCCT